AAATTCAACATATGCCTTCAAGGTATGGGAGCCTGTGCTCTACATTCCACTAATTAACTGCAATGAAGGTGCTTTCAGTCTCTGCAGAGTGGGTTTTTAGCAGTTGGCCCCCCCTGTCACAAATGAACAGGAGAGGTTCAATAGTTCTTTTCACTCTACCAGAGTTTTAACCTTGCTCTGAGTGAGGTCCAGCACTGCTCTCTAAAAATGGGGTCACTTCTCTGAACAGAGAATGTTCCATGCCCCTTACAGCCTCACTGAGTATCTAGTGCCCACAATGCCTTGGATCCTTGTTGGCCCATGGAACTGGAAGATCACTCCTCAGTGAGGCAGTGCAGAATGTGAGCACCCAAACCTCCTGTGTCTCCTCACTGGAACGCAGGAACCAGCAGGGTGTTGTCACCAAGACACTGCTGCAGACCACATGGAAAGGCTACAGATCAGAGTCACCTCCTCTCAGCTGACAGAAGCAAGGCTGGGGAACAGAACAAGCAGCTAAATCATACAGAACCAACCCTCCCTTTGTCTGCCCATCCCAATCACACTCCTGCCCCCCAGGCCCTCCCATCCTGCCCCAGGCAATGCATGTCCATCACCTCTCCCCAAGTAATGCTCACCCAAAAACCTGAGAGCCCCTGGTCACAAGAAACTACTCCACAACTTGCTGAGAGTAGCTCTGCTTTGGGCTAGAGCCTTTACCCTCAAAACCCACTTCTGGGAATGGAGTCTCTTTCTGTGCTGAGAGTCTTCAGTCTGAAAACCTGAAATCATCTGAGAATCAAAAAGCAAAGTGCAGAGGCAATTGCTCTTGTCCTAGTTCCCTTGTTTAAACCTGTTTTTCTTTTTAGGTTTAACTCTACCACTGCAAACACAGCTGGGGAACACAGGAACCATCTCCAGCAGAGAGAACCAAATGGTAACTCCAAAACATGCCAAATGGGGAGGCTGGAAAGGTTTTCTGGTGGCTTTGCCTTACAGTCCTGCTGTAGCCAGCACAGCAGCAATGCAGAATGCAGTAAGGAAATCACAGGTCATTAGTGCTTGCTAAAATTAAGTCTCAATTCCAAGGATTTTCTTTTGCAGCAGTTCTTTTAATCAGGATATGGACATGGCACACCTCACTGGGATGGGTCTGCAAGTCTTTCCTTTCTAGGCAGAGGGATAAAAAAAACCCCCCAAACAAGCACATCACACATGTGACTCATGAAGCCTATAAGCTATATTTTGAGTTCCTTTTTAAAATGGACCCTTGTTGGAAAAGGAATCGCTAGATTGAGTGACCCAATTTTGTAGGTTTGTGGGTTTTCTTTAAAAAAAAAAATCAATTTAAATATAGTTGTGCTAAAATCAAGCAGTTTTTAGCAGTGTGCCTAACCCTGATCCCCTCTGCTCTGCAGGATTCAGTATGTTATTGAGCTCTCCTAGGTCCATGATTTCTAACATACTACAGGATTATTCCTTTCTGGTGCACAGATCAAATCATGTGTCACAAACTCCTGAGTGAGAAGGGTGAGCTCTTTAATGACAGGTCTCCTCTGTCCCAGAGAAAGTATTCTGTAAGCCTTACCTGGCAGTCTGTCTGAGCTAAATACAACATTAATGTCCAGGTGGTCGTTCTTCCCAAATCCATTATCAGGAGTCTTTGCACTGACAGCCACAGTGCAGCGGAGGCAATGGGCAAGCTGTGAGGGTATTGATGTGCTTTCACTCAAGAGCTAAACATGTCAACAGACTACAAAAGAGCATTTGGAATGTGTGCATTGGAACTCAAGAGCAATTTACAAGGGAGCACTAGAGGCCCATTGGCAAAACCTCCTAGAAACTTAAACTCAGTTCAGGTTATCCAGTCAAGCACCTCTAAATTCCTAAAGCATAATGCCAAGTCATGAATTACACCTTTCAGGGGGATGAACCACACTGGATTTTTTAAAGAGGCCATGGCACAGGGATACAGTTCTTTGTCTTTCCTAAGCAGATCATTGTACATCTGATCATATGTTGTTTTGAAGTCATAAACATTTGGCTTGTCCGGGGCTGGTCCTGGCAGTTTCACGTGCGTCCCTGTTCCGAAGGATCTGACACTGAATCCTCGTTTGCTGAAAGACACAAGGGGAGGGGGAAGGCAGGCAGTTAGATTGGCTCACTTTAAACACCAAAGTGCTGCACAACACACACATGAACTTTAAAAACACCTCTTAGCAATCAGCCAAGTCACACTGGCAACACACCCAAGGTGCACTCTCCTTGCAGTGACAATCCACACACCACTGCTGAAGAAGTGCCCAGATTTGGTAAGTTTTCTCAGAGTTATGGCAAACAGCTTTGGGGCTGTTTCTTTGGTGCTTTCAGACATCCTGGATTGGCAACAAGCACATTCTCTGTTCACCCATGGACAACACAGTGGAGCAGGAAGGTTTTCCTCTTGAGGTAAGTAACAATACAAACTGATCAATACTGAGTGTTTTGCTGAAGTCTCTGGGCTAACTACATCACTCCCCTCACTGTGCAGCCCAAATCACCTCTGGTGTAATTTAAGGAGCCTAGGACAAGCATTTGTGTGCCTCAAGTGACCTGAGCATCATCCTGTGTCATTGCCTTTACACAACTGGGGCAGATCTGCTCTGGCTGCTGCCTGAAACTCTTGAGTAAACCAGGGACAGCTTCATTCCACTCTTATGAACAACTACCTGTTTATTAATTGTAATTAAAACAAGGCAGGAACCTGTTTGTCTTCAGGGCAATGCCAAAACGTTGTGTGAAACCAAAATACCTGAAGCTCAATACATCCTTCAGGAATAAAAATCAGGACAATGTGTTCGCTGAAAACAGGACCAAAAAGAGGTTGTTTTCTGGTGGTTTAATGGACAAAATTGTGCTGCTAGTATCAAAAATGCTGAAATATTTGGGTCTGTGATGACAATCTAACTTGAAACAGGTCAAGCCCATGATTTGATCTACTTTTTAAGGACTCACACTTTCAGTTTAAATGATACAGCAGAGACTGAATGAACAATGTTAAATAAAAAGTGAGTGAACAACCCAATGTGCCCTCACAGCCCCAAAAAAAACCTCCCTGAGGAGACCTAACTGGGAACCAGTGATAAGAGTCACATCTTGCCCCCTTGGCCTGCACATAGAAGACTGCCAGGAAACCCAGTGAAGACACCAATTCCAACTGCCTTTTTGCCTCCAAGTGGTGTCTGAGCTGATCCCAAATCCTTCTGTGCTAAGACTAACTGTGACCAGGTCCTGCCCCAAGCTCAAACACAGCCATGAAACTATCAACACTATTATTTCCTTTCATCCCCGTTGGGACACA